GCCGAATTTATTGATTACTGGCTCAGACTTGGCCAACTTAATTAATATGGGATGATTACAATTTTATTAATATGGAATAATTGCATGTAATTTCTGGGGCAAAGACTGTAATAGTTAAGTAGAATGAAAAAGAAAGGACTAAGTTGAGAGAAGAGAGAATGTATATTATAAGATTGGACGTCAATTACATCTCTTCTACTTCCCCAGGTATGCCTCGTTAAAACCTCTTCAACCAAAACCCTTTTTTTTTATTGAAAAAAAAGACTGAAGTAGGAAAAAGAGTATAATACCTGGGTTTACACATCTTAGCTATAATAAAATTTCAAATGAGTAGCGTTCCAAGTTCTTGGGATAACTTTGCCACCCAATTCTGTCAGTCTGTATGCACCATTGTGCAGACATTCTAAGATGCGGAAAGGGCCTTCCCAATTAGCTGTGAATTTCCCCGCTGATGTGTCTTTTCTAGCTTCTCCGACAGCTCTCCAAACAAGGTCCCCTTCTCGGAAGGATCTCGGCTTTAGTTTGGAATTGTATCTCCGAGATGCTCTGAGCTTGCATGCCTCTTCTTGAACTCGGGCGCACTCTCTGGTTTCATCTATGAGATTGAGATCAGTTCTCAGTGTCTCTATATTTTGAGCTGTATCAAAAGTTAGTCTTCGGTGACTTGGTTCCCCGATCTCTACTGGTATCATGGCATCAGACCCATAAGTTAACTTATATGGGGTTTCTTGAGTGGTAGTCTGTGGTGTGCAATGATAGGCCCATAAAACACCAGGTAGTTCATCTACCCACTCTCCTTTTGATGTGCCAAGTCTTTTCCTGAGTTCTCTAAGGATAACCTTGTTGGCAGCTTCAACTTGACCATTTGTCTGTGGATATTCAACCGAAGTAACTTTGTGATTGATCTCGAGTTGCCTCAAAAATTGCTCGAAATTTTTATCAACGACCATGCTTTCCATTATCAGTGGTTATAGCATGAGGTAAGCCATACCTACAGATAATTCTCTTCCACGTGAATCTTTGAACATTGGTTGCAGTGATCTTTGCTAGGGCTTCAGCTTCAACCCATTTCGTGAAGTAATCAATGCCAACCAATAAGAATTTTAGTGGACCTTTGGCTATTGGAAAAAGGACCAAGAATATCCATCTCCCACCAGGCAAAGGGCCATGTTGACTGCATGGAATGCAGAGTTGTTGGAGGTAACTGGTGTAGATTGTCGAACTCTTGGCAGGCTTTACATTTCTAAACATATGACTTACAGTCCGATCTCATAGTCGGCCAGTAGTATCCAACTCGGATAACTCTGGCAGCCATGGACCGAGCTCTGGAATGCATGCCACAGATTCCGCGGTGGATCTCATTCATTACATAGTTGGCTTGATCCGTGTCTAAGCATTTGAGGAGAGGCATGGAAAAGCCTCGTTTGAACAACTCATCCGCTTCAATCGTAAAGTGGCATGACTTGTTTTTAATTTTGGAAGCTTCTACTTTACTATCTGGCAAGGTCCCATCTTTAAGATATTTCCAAATGTCGGCCATCCAACCTTTCTTGTCAAGTGCAATTGACATTTCAAGGAATCCTATTCTACACTCACTTCCCTGTTTGTTCTATGTGTGTCTTCTACTGTGTTACAGATGACCATCAACCTGAGGATATTGGTGATGAAGCTTAGGCTTCAATTGGGCATGCTCTGATAGGATATGTGACATCGAGGCGTAGTTAGGACTAGTTTAGGATGTTGTTTTCATTGAACTGTTTTGAAAACCTCAATTTCTTTCTTTTGTAATTTCCGCATTGGATATTGTTTATGAGTTTATGAATGTGAATCATCTACGTAAGATATTTGAGATTCTGCTTTTATTTATGAAAGATTTTAATTATTCCTATTTATTGTATAATTATGAATGTGGGATAGAGGGTGTCACATTTAGTTTAGAGATATGTTTCAAATTTATGTGCCCAATTTTTTTTTATACCAAATCCATCTTTCTTCTTTTCTAGAAATCAAACACATTACATTCCATTTGTCATGATCATCTAGATTAATCTCAGATATTATTCTTTTTGTAGGTAGTAAAAAATACAAACTCATCATTGTGTATGACTACACACAAGCCCTTATCAAAGGATACAGTATATTCATTGTCACAAAATTGACTTATGCTAAACAAATTATACTTTAATCCCTCAACATATAACACATTATTAACAGTAGATATAAGGTTTTTATCAATCTTACCTATACCTTTGATTTCTCCTTTACCACTATCTCCAAATGAGACTGTTCCTTCATGAGGTTGAAGATCTAGGATCATAAACCTTTCTCTTATCATGTGTCGTGAGTAATCATTATCTAGGTACCAATGTGAATAATTTATTTCTCCCACCAAAGATATCTTCAATAGAAATTATTTGAGACATTGGTATCCAAATCTTTTGGGTCATTTTTTGTTATATCTAAAATTGCTCAATTAAATTTGAGAGATTAAAATCGCACAACTACTATATTTAAAGGACAAAAACGCATTTATGCTTAATGCTTAATAATTCAAATGGTGAAAAAATAATTAAAAAAACTTATACTTTTTTTAAAAAAATATTATATATTAAACCAAGTTAATTAGATGACCTGAAACATAATTCAACCTGTGCTAAAAATACACCGGATCCAATTCTGAAGTTCAAGTTCGACCAAATTTACCTTGAGTTAGGATAGGTTAGTGGACTTGATTGGGGCATGCTCATCCTTATCCTATAAAATGAATCATCATAATCAAATGATACAAGTTTCACATTTTGAATAAATTAAAAATAAAATGTTAAAAATTGTGTCCTAGAATTAAAAGGCGTCATTATTTAAGAATTTCAACATTAATGAAAAACTGAAAATTAAAAGAATAAAACTTTTTTAAAAAATAAAACTCAAAACAAATTTTAATAATAAAATAAAAGATCAATCATATATTTTAGCCTAAATATTATAATATAAACTATCATTTAATCATAAATAATTTTATATAATAAAATTATTAATTTTTATAATAATTATTTTAAAAATCATAATTATAAATTTTGATTGATTAATGAAAATCAATAGATTAATTTCACTCATTAGTTTTTATTCCGTTACACTTTTATATAATGATTCAAAATAAATTTCATTAAAAATGAATTTTGGAGAAGAATCGTTAGAGTTGAGAGTTAAGGGTGACAAAGAATGTAACTTAGATCTAGCTGATAAACTCTCCGATCCACCTATTTTTATTGAGTTGAGTTAGATAAATATATTACCGACTTGTCCTACTGAATAAATAATGTTAAATTAATCTTATTTTATAATGTAAACTCTCCAATCCCCCTATTTTTATTGAATTGAGTTAGATAAATAAATTACCAACTCGTTCAATTGACTGACCCAATAGGTTTAACTCGTCAATTTAGTAGATCAATTCATCAATTCATTTTGTTTTGTTTTATACTCTAAAGAGATAAATTTTGTAATCAATTTATGGTAGATTAATCTTATTTTATAACTCATTTTCTCTTTCTAAGTAATTAATCTCATTTTATATAAAATATAAATATATTGTTTTAATATTTTTTATTTGCACATTTTTATATATAATATTTTTTTAATATAAATATATATTACTCTGGCTCATGAAAAAATATAATTCTTTTGTATCAATTTTATAAATAATAATAAATTTATTTATTAAAGTGATAATATATATTAAAATATTTTAATTAAGATTTTTTTAAAACTTGGATGGATTGAATTGAAATCAACTCACCAATCTACCAATATTGCTAAGTGAATTGAAAAAACCTTAAACACTAATCTAGTGTTTTAAAATCTGGCTCGAACCAGTCAGTCGGACCAGTTAAACCAAGAATTGGTGGGTCAAACCGATTTAACCACAAGGATGTTCATTATTTTTAAAAAGAAATTCAAAGGAAAACACAACATAGGAAGCAAACCTTGCTCATTGGAGAGTGAAAAAATCTTATCAAACATTACAATGCTCACTTGTTTTAATGTATTTGTTTGTAATATATACAACTTAAGTAACTTTTATAGTATATTATAAATTTTAAATTATATATTCAATAATATATATATATATATATATATTACATATATTATTTTGTGATATCAATTACAAGTATATTATATATACATATTATTTATATTTTTAATTTGTATTAATATAAAGTTTAACATGTAACTTTTCATGTATTTTTTTATATAAAATAAAAATAAAGATAATTTTAAATAAGATCGAAATTAAAATTTAAGATACGATATGAATTTATTAAAATTTATAAGTATAAAATATATTTAACATGAATATTTTTTAAAAAATTAATAAAAATTGGATCATGCGATTTAATTAGTGACCTACCAGTTTAACCTTTGATCTATTAATTCGATATCCTAACCGATTTGATAATTGATATGATTTTTAAAAGTATGCTCTAATTACTATTAAGTAAAATGAGTTATATTTTTTAACCTATTTTCTTTAATAAATTAATTTACTCCGCTTTGTTTCTTTAATGGGCCAACTCGCTTGCTTTAATGAAGGGTTCATGATATATACACCTCTTTTTTTTTTCTTTTTTTTTATAAGTACACCTCCTTTTTAAAAAAATAATTAAATTTCTAAAATATTCTTATTTTTTTTTAATTTTTTAATTTTACACCTACAACATTTTATTTAGTACTTTGTTTTTACACATTTTTTTTTCTTCAATTTTTACATACACTTCCTTACCTTTCCTTCACCATACCTATTTTGGTAGCATGTGAAAGTTGAAAGAGAAAAAAAGTGTGTAGAAAAAAAAGAAGAATGTAGAAAATTAAAAATTGGAGGTGTAAAATTAGAAAATTAAAAAAAAATTATAATATTTTATAATTTTTTAAAAAAAATTAAAGAGGTATAGTTATAAAAAAAAAAAAAAAGGAGGTATATATATCATGAGCGAAGATACATACTTTCCCAGCCGCATTGAGAGTGCAGTGGGAAATCGTTCACTTCACATCACACAAAACAGTGCCTTCGTCGTTGTGGGAAACCATCGTAGCCTCTGCGGTATGCACTTCTCTGTAACTATTGCTTCTTCAATTTTTGTCTCTTTTTTGCGATTGTATTGTGTTTGTATCCTTGATATTTGAATTCAACTTCATGTTTAACATGCCCATCAACAAAATTTTTTTAAAAATTGATTTTTCTGTAATGGGTGTCTCTGGTTTTCTCACTTACTTCAGTGGTTTTATTTACTTCCCAGAAATCAAAAATCAAACGAGATTTGGGAAATGGCTGCTGCAAGAGGGTTGGTACTGTCACGTCCTGTTACTTTCGTCACTGGCAATGCCAAAAAGCTTGAAGAAGTTCGTGCCATCTTAGGCAATTCCATTCCTTTTCAGTCCCTCAAACTTGACTGTAATAATAGTCACTCTTCCCCTCCAACTTTTCCTTCTTATTTTTTAAATTAATTTTTCCATTTTATTCTTTACTTGTACTTGTTCATCATTTGTGTTGTTTGTTTTTATACTTTATAGACATTTACTGTGTGTTTGATTTATATTTTTCAAAACCTTTTATAGTTTTCAAAATGCTACTAACAAGGTTGCTCAAACAGCTAGTGAAGACCAGAGGGTGGTGCAAGGTGTATAGCAGAGTATGAGAATGAGGGAGAAGTTGAACAAGATAAAAACAGGAGAAGAAAATGAGATAGCTCAATTTTTTTTCTTAACCATGGAATTAGAATGAAGTATTCACAGCAGCTTAATTTGTTTCTAAAACATTTTTTTAAAATTCCATTTGAATTTGGATAAGAAATTGATTTTAAATAAGGTTGTTCATGGTGCAAGGCACAGAACAAAGTGTGGAATTGAACGGGCTTGAACCAGAAGAAAATAGAAGGAGACGAAAAATCATGTTCAAGCTGTTTCTGTTTTTTTGTTTTTGAAACACTTGATTTCAAAAAAAATTTCAAAACTTACTACATTTTGAATGCGAAGTTGATTGTCGAGGAGTGTAAAATTATTTTAGAAAACAGTTATTAAAATCAAAAAGTGAGAAGAGAATCAAACAGGCACTTGCTTTTTGTTCTTAGTTTCTATCAGTCTTCAAGTCAGTTACTTTTCTTGCTTAATCATTCTCCTTAGAGTCTTTTTTTTTTCTTTTCCTTTTCCTTGTTTTATTTCAAGTGCCAGAGTTGCAAGGAGAGCCTGAAGATATCTCGAAAGAGAAGGCTCGAATGGCTGCTCTTCAGGTACTCGGTTACCATTTTTCTCTCACACATGCTTAGCCTTGTGTGATTTTAGGTTGGTTTTCTGTTTTTCTGTTTTTCTCTCTCTCTTTTTTAATATCCTTTTTAATATCTTTTTTGTATATGGCAAGGTGAATGGGCCTGTGTTGGTTGAAGACACTTGCCTCTGTTTCAATGCCTTGAAGGGTCTTCCAGGTGGATATACTTTTGTTATTTTTTCAAGCTATGATAGCTGGCATTATACAATCTGTGAGTGGTTTTGATCGAATGTTTCAAATTTTTGCAGGGCCTTACATGTAAGTTATCTTTCACCCTTAATCATTGTACGCAGGTGAACTTTATTCCCCTTTTTATCATAATAGGTTTGGCCTTCATATGATTTTTATTCATTTTATACTGTAGTCTTTTAGCATAACACTATGATAAAGAAAAGAACAAGAAGCATATGGTTTCTTAAAACTGGATGAAACTATGGTAGGGAAACTGAGATGATAGAGATTATTAGAGAATAGTTATTTATGTGTGTGCTTATTAGGTTATTTTGTATTATTGGCCTGGCCTAATCTTTCTTGCATAGAAATAAGGCATTGTTGCCGCCCATATATAAGAAGCGAGATAGAGAGACAGAGAATTATCCAGTGATTTGAGTGGAAGGTGTGAATCCTCAAAGTCTGCTCTCTGTGTGCGTTCTGTTCTGTAACTTGGGGAATTCTTCCCTCCATTCTGGAATAAAATACCAGGCATCTGTCATTATCACTAAATGGGGTTGGCTTCATGGATTCTAGTTTGCCATTGTACCTGATACTTACTTGTAAATATATGGAGCCTAATGAGCTCTATATCCTTTTCCTTCTCTTAGATTGAGGATTTGAGTTTAACTCAACCCTATAAAACTAATTTGTAAGATGAGAATTGTCTCTCACTTATATACTCTATTTTGGTCATGTCACTAATCAATATGACATCTTCAAACACACCCCTCACATCGAGAACAACACATCGGCTGGTAGTCTGATAATGGCTAAATAGTGGTTGTTTGATTAGCCTAACAACAATTGCTATCAATCAGTCTCTTGGGTTGCAGCATCAGATACCACGTGTTGCAAAAAATGAGGGGGCAAAACACTAGGGAGAATTCTATTAATGGATCACAAGCAAACTATACAAGTGAATTTGCAATCACATTTTAACTTAAAATCTTAAGACATCAGGCTTATGAGTTTTTTTCACTTATATGTTACTCAACACCTGATTAGTCTCCCATCTTTCTTTTAGGGTTTATCTCTACCCTTCTTAAAATGGATATTGGTTGTATTCTCTGAACTTTCCACGGCATACATAACTATATAAGTCATAATTTTATGTTCCAAAACAATCTTAAACAATTCTCCATCAATTTTTCTTCTATGGGATTCAACACTCTGACCTCTTTAATTTGTTATATATCCTGCTATGCTCACTCCGATATCAACTCATATACCCGTTTAAGAATTCACCGTTAGAAAATGAAAATAGGAAAATTATAACGTATTATATATTAATGAATTACATCAAGATGAACATCAACAAATGATAAATTACAATAACAAAGACTAAAGTAAAATAAGAAGGTTTAGAAAAACTTGAGTTGAAGCACGCTAGGTATTATTCTTAAAGAGAAAATACTTCATTGCACTGGTAGATTAATTTGTAATGTGTTCCTCTTCTAAGATAAGACCACCCGTCACATCAATTATGTGCAGCGATGGATCTCTGAATCAAAGAGTATCGAATCAAAGAGTATCGCTCCAAAACACTTTTAATAATAAGAGAAATATTTCTTATAGTGGAAGACATAATTTTCACTGTCATGTATTTTTCTGTGTTCTATGCAAGAGAACCCATATTTATAACCAATAAAAGGCTAAAAAACCACACAAAGTTCAGTAACAAAAATAGGCCACAAAATCAGAAAAACTAGCTCCAACGTGCAGCTAACAGCCGTAGCAACAAAACAGGAAAAAACTAAAAGTTAGTAAAAACTAACTCCTAACGTTCAGGCAGTAAACATATAAATGAAAAACTAATGATTTGGTCAAAAGTTCTTAAAAACATAACTAATTAAGATATATAAAAAAAATTAAAACAATAACTATTAAACAAAAAACATTAATTTAAATTTTAAAATTATAAATTAATTTTTCAACACTCACTAGTTAACTATAGCTCCAACATCTTGGTTTGGCTTTGGCACGATCAGTTCCCTGTGGATACGTCGTGTTTGCCTGGCTTGACTGTGTAGGATTTCCCTCAAGAATAAAAACAGAGAGAAAGTGGAAGGTGAGAGATATTGACTAAATACTATATTATAGAGAGAAGGAAAGGACATGTTTCATCAAACAAATAGAAGAGAAAGAATGGAGAATGAAAAACTTTAGAGGTTGTAGTGAATATTATGTGGAAAAAATTGGAAAATTTTAAATGGCCATGTCTCTTTGATAACAGCACAAGCACAGAGGTGCAAAGTTGGTAATAAATGTTCAAAAAATTGCATTCAATTAAGGTGTTGGTATTATGAGGGCTGAACTAATGTGAACATTTTATATTGTGTAACATGTGCAAAGTGTGTGCAATTGTAAGCCAAGCCAAAAGGGTGTTACTTGAATGGGGTTCACGTAAGAGCTTTCTGACTTGTACACACCAACCTCTTGTTAAGCCTATTTGGTCATGTTTTGGAACCTAGGGGTCTATATGGAGATACCTAACTCTAAATGGCTTCATATTTTTTAGTTTAGCTTATTTTTAGGTAGGATTTGTGCAGTCCATGCCTCTACTACTCTTGATTTGGTCTTGTAAAATGAGGTGACTATTGATATGCTAATGCAGCTCTTAAGGCCAATTGAACACAAATTAATTTGTACATTGTACACAAACAATAGTCACAAGATTAACGCATGTGGCTTTTGAACTTTTCTTTTAGGTTCATGCTTCTTAATCACATGGTTAGAAAAGTAACTGAATTTGAATCATATTTTGACTCTAAAACACAATTTGGCAGACCCTATATGAGCAAACTATGTAGTATCAAGGTAAATCTAGGAATTTAGCTACAACTAGGAATTATGAAATTGAGTAGCACCCAAATCCCACTGGTGTTGAAATTTAGTACACTGTCCAGTCTAACTACTGATTTTACACACAAAAGTTCATGAAGGCATGAAATAACATATAGTAACATTCACTAGCTTTCAGCATGGCAGTTAACTTTAAGATATGTACTTGTAGCTCTAGCTTGGGTTTGGCCCACTGTATTTGTCGGAAAGTGGTAGCTCTAATGGCAACAGAACATGGTACGATGTGCAAGTGTAAGAACAAATGATCCAAGGATTTATGTGATTAGGTGTGTTGCCTACCCCCATGGGCAAAGGCAACAGCCAAATATTTTACTAAAGAAGTTTGATGGAGGATACAAAAGTGGTTACATCTCAATCAAAACCCAAACCCCCAATAACCCAAAATACCTTGTCTCACCTGTGTATGCTTTCAGCAGTCACTAAATATTTAAAGAGAAAATTATACAGAACCAACACTTCAATACAAGAATGCTTTGCCAACTGTTTGGAAACTTAGAACTGGATCAAGAATAGTCAACAACTCAAAGTCGTGCTCCAAGCCTCTTAATAGGCTTGGTATTGCATTTACAACTCATCATGTAAATCCATTACAAATGCATTATTTCAACTCAACTGGCCTATCAATATAGGCATGAAGAAAATATCTAATTGAAATAAATTTTTTCTGCATGTAGCTATTAATGCCTTGCAAATGTATTGGGCTTTTAACAGTTTTTACTTGTAGAGCACACTGAATGGACTTTGTTCATGCGTCGTATTGAAATTATAATAGTATGTGAAGTTATTCACCAAACGTGTATAGTTAATATTTTTTAAAGTATAAGTCTATACATCCTTTTAACAAGCATTACTTGTGCATGTGTTTGTGACTTTGTGGCATATGAGAGAAGCAATGTCTATTTTGAGCAAGCTTGACGTGCTAAGTGATCATGAAACTATGGAGCTAGAATTTTATAAATGTTATGTTTGCGCAAAGCCAACTAAAAACAACTTTTTTAGTTCTCCACCTGCATATCAATTTTAATTTATCAAGCTTTGTGCCTGTTTTGTTAATAGGGGTATCTATATGACTATATGTGAGTTGGCCATTAATGGGTGTTTTGAAGAAAGCAACTTGAGAAATTAAAGATTTGATTAAAGTCTACCCCGATATGGAGATTTGTTAAAAGGAAGTCTTCGCTTGGCACCTGAAATATTTACTAGTTATGCTTGGTGAATAGCTTCAAATGTTTGTGATTTTGTTAATGTTAAGTGGACTTGCATGCTTTGTGAATAACTGTTGGGCTTTATTAAGAAGAACATGGACGAAAGTCCAATATGATTGCAAGTACTAATTGCTGCATGCAGAAGGGTCTATTTAATGTAAATGCCGTAATAAGCCTATAAAGAGAGGTCTGTAGCATGGATTTGAAACATCCGTTTCTAAATTAATTGCTAAATCAGCTAGTTTTAGTTATATAATCCGTGTGGCTTTCAATTTTCATAAATTTGTTTTAGGCATTTATGCTGAGGATACGATTTATCTGTAGTCATTTTGCAAGGTGGTGGAATACACACACACAGAGGCAAACAAAATATAATTACTATCTCTGAATCATCAAATTCAGCGAGTGAGATTTCTTAAATTCGTTGAGTACTCCTAATGATTGTTGTCTAATTGCATTGATGTATTATGCAGCAAATGGTTTCTGCAGAAGATTGGTCATGAAGGTTGTACCTTAACTGCATAATTTTGATCAGTTTTCATTATTTAGTACTTGGTTTCAGGATTCTGGATATCCCACAGAATTTGATTTACTCATTCCTCTGATTCGTTTTCCAGGTCTCAACAATTTGCTGATGGCATATGATGATAAATCAGCTTATGCCTTGTGTGTATTTTCCTTCGCGGCTGGTCCAGATAGTGAACCTATCACATTTTCTGGAAAAACTCAGGTGTCTCTTTGAATTCCATATGTTTACCAAACATAATTACATGAATCTTCTCATTTCATATAGTTATCTTAAAATACGAGTTTTAGGCATAACTCACATTCCAAGTTATGTAAATGGTTAAATTTTATGAGACTAAGAATATAATAACAATGCGCCTTCCCTCGTAAAAATGTTTATTCTTCCACCTAACCAAACTTTACTAGCATAATCTACTTTTCCAAGTTGAGAAATGTCAGCAGCTCACTATCACATTCTTCTAAACACATTTTTATTATTGACATTTACTAGAAATCACAAAATTTTGCGGGTTTCGCATCATGTGATTTTGCTGTGTTTCATAAATTTTAATCTATTAGAGTATGTTAAAGAGTGTTAATCAACACTTCTTTTAGGAGTTTAAGGAGTGTTAATCAATTCACTTGATGTAATATAAAGCAGTTAATGTGTTTGAGTGTAGGACTAACTCTTTTATGTGGTGGTATGTTAGGGGAAGATTGTTTCTCCAAGAGGGCCTAATGATTTTGGATGGGATCCTATTTTTGAACCTGAAGGCTATGACCAAACGTATTTCCATCCCTTTTTTTTTCATGTCATGTTCTGTTAAAATGTTACTTGCAAAAGCTAATTCATTTCATTTTTACTCTTATTGTAGGTATGCACAAATGCCCAAAGAAGAAAAGAACAAAATTTCCCACCGCTACAAATCTCTTGCATTGGTGAAATCTCATTTTGCTGAAGCTGGATATACTTTTCAGATTGAAAAAGCCTGAAAACCATGGTGTATGTTGTTAATGTGGTGGATTATAGGCTACAGAACTTTATTAAATTTAAATGTCCCCTGAAATTGAAATTAAAATGTTTCTAACAATAGAAATGGGGAAATTACTTTGAACTTAAATGCTGCTTTGTTTGCAACTTCTCCAGCAAAAGTTTAAAAACCAAAAATTGATAGGAAAAAAAATACCAAAAAGGAAAAAGAAGCTAATCTTACAAGTTTGTGGATGTTTCAGTTTGAACAGAATTGCTACAAGAAAATAAAAATATAAAATGTTTATATGTAAAATAAAATGAAAAATAAAAATAGAATCAATGGAAAGAAATTTTATTAACAAAATATTGATTAGATTTATTTTTTTATATATGAATAGTTAAGAATCTTTTGATTAATTGTAAATATTGGGTTTTTGCTGATACGGATTTCATACTTTTTCCACTATTGTTTACATACTTGATAAATTCCTCGTTGGAATCATTTGGTATGTTTTCCATACTTAGTTATGATAACAAAGTATATACTGAGCACAACGTGAATAGTGCTATAAACGTTGCCACAATGAAATCGTACAATTGAAAGTGTGAAGATGTTGTCAATTTGGGTTTTGCCCATTTCTTCAGTACATTTGCAATAATGGATTTGCTACCTATTGCCTGCAACAGTTAAAAATTCAACATTTAATGTTGTTAATATATCTGAACCGAATATATATATACACACAAATTTGAATTGTTTTTTTAATATAATTTTTATTATACATATTATCGAGATAAAATTTTAATATTAATCAGAAAATAACATAAATAAGACTATAAAATTGTATATAAATTTTATTGCTTTTATTAATTTTTAAACTTTATATATATATATATATATATTCACACAAATTTGTATTGTTTTTTAATATAATTTTTATTGGACAAATTATCGAGATAAAATTTTAATATTAATCAGAAAATAACACAAATAAGACTATAAAAACTTTAGGATAATAGTTAATGAAATGTTGCAACAGATGAGTGGTATTAACACTGATTTTAATTTTCAAATAAGGTTACCCTAAAAACTAATAAAGATATTTAGTTTAAATTCGATTTTGTTTCACAAGGTATAGTAGTTGTGTGATTTTAGTCATTTTAATTTTAATTTTTTAAGTATTGTAGTTGTGTAATTTTGATCACTTAATTTTTAATCAATTTTATTCCGTTAAATATTAAAATTATATAGTTTTAGTCTCTCAATTATTGTAATTATATAAAATTTTTACTCAACAAATATTTGTGCTTATGCTTATCTATATATCCTCTTCGATCCTAAATATATTATTCCTATAAGTAGGGGTGTTCACAAAACTATTTAAAACTAAACTTTTTAAATAACTAAACTAAACTAAACTAAAATAAACTAAATTATTTTTTAATAGTTTAAACCAAACTATTACTTTTAGTATAGTTTATAAAACTAAACTATTAAAATTAATAGTTCAGTTTACTAAAATCAAATACAAGCACTGCACATTTACGGAAGCACGGGAGGCTACGGTTCGTCGTTCAAAACTATTAATGTATGTGGTAGAATCATTTTCTCTTAAGCACTGCACATTCACGGAAGCACGGAGGTATTAAAGTCGTAGTGTCATTTTCTCTTTTTTTTTTTTT